GCGGGGGTGAAATTAAATCGGGGCTCACCCCTAGCGAGCCGTGACGCTACCTCGGAAACACGGGAAAACGGTCAAAAAATGAAAATCACTCCTTTTTTTGGGGGGGGGACACACACTTGGGGGGCAGGAGAGGCAGTGCGTGCAGGCAGGGGGTCCGTCACCACGCACGGTACAGGCAGGAGGCAGGCGCGACACGCGACGCGAAGACGCTTAGGTCATGTGTGATGCGGAGGGAAGGGGACAGACGGACACACGGACACACCTACGGGCACGGTGGGGTCCCACCGCGGGGCTGGGGGACGAAGTCGGTGGCAAAAGTGCTGATGGCAGGAGGTCGGGGTGGGCGACGGGGGGGACGTCCCCGTCCCCGTCCCCCATTTAGGGGATCTGAAAGACGTTGAGTTTACTGGTGTTCTTGAGGGTCTGCCGGCGGTTGCAGAACCAGACGCGGACGACTTCGCGGTCGTAGTTGAGCTCCTTGGCGATCTCGGTGATCTCCTGGCCGGTGGGCAAGGCGTTCTTCTCGAAGTAGGCATTGAGAGCCTCGATGGCTTGGGGGGTGAAGGAGGTACGGCGCTTCCGTTTTTTGGAGGGCTCCCCCCCGACGAATTCCATCAAATTTTGTTGCCCCTCTTGGTTCCGGAGCTCGGCTTCGCTCAACCATTTTTCCAGCACCGGTTTCAGCTTCTGGGCGCTCTTGGGGGTGATGTCCAGCTTCTCGAACCTGCAGCCGGCACCGAGGAGCCCTCAGGGACACGGTGAGGACGGGGGGGACACCGGGACGGGGTTGGGGACACCGCGATGGGGTTGGGGACACCGGGACGAGGAGGTTGGGGACGCCGGGACGGGGTTGGGGACACCGGGACAGGGTTGGGGACACCGGGATGGGGTTGGGGACGCCGGGGACGGGGTTGGGGACACCACTGCCTTCGGTGAGCGAGACCACGGCGGGGAGCGACGCCGTGGTGAGGAGCTTCGTGGGCAGCGACCCCATCCACCCTCCTTTTCTCCCATTTTCCTCCTTTTCTCCCATTTTCCTCCTTTTCTCCCATTTCCCTCCCTTTCTCCATTTTCCTTCCTCTTCTCCAACTTTCCTCCCTTTCCCTAATTTTCCTTTTCTCCAATTTTCCTCCTTTTCTCCAATTCTCCTCCCTTTCTCCAATTTCCCCTCTTTTCGCCAATTTCCCCTTTCCTGATTTTCCTCCTTTTCTCTGCTTTTCCTCCCTTTCCCAGATTTTCCTTTTTCCCCACTTCCCTCGTTTTCTCTTTCTTTCTTTCCCTCAATTTTCCTTCTTTTCTCCACCTTTCCTCTCTTTCTCTAATTTTCCTCCCTTCCTCTCATTTTTCTCCCATTCTCCTCCTTTTCTCCATTTTTCCTCCTTTTCTCTGATTTCCCCTCTCTTCTCCAATTTTCCTCCCTTTCTCCAATTTTTCTTTCATCCGTTTTCCCTCCTTTTCCCCATTTTCCCTCCTTTTCCCCATTTTTCCTTTTCTCCAACTTTCCTTTCCTCCCCTTCCCTAATTTCCCTTTTCTCCAATTCTCCTCCTTTTCTCCAACTTTCCTCCCATTCTCTAATTTTCTTATTTTTCTCCAATTTCCCTCCTTTTCTCCCATTTTCCTCCCTTTCTCTACTTTTCCTCCCTTTCTCTAATTTCCCTTTTTTTCTCCAATTCCTTCCTTTTCTCCCATTTTCCTCCCTTTCTCTATTTTTCCTCCCTTTCTCCAACTTTCCTCTTTCTCTAATTTCCCTATTTTTCTCCAATTCCCCCCTTTTCTCCCATTTCCCTCCTTTCTCCCATTTCCCTCCCTTTCTCTACTTTTCCCCCTTTTCTCCAACTTCCCTCCCTTTCTCCAACTTTCCTCTTTCTCCAATTTCCCTATTTCTCTCCAATTCCCTCCTTTTCTCCCATTTTCCTCCTTTTCTCCCATTTCCCTCCCTTTCTCCAACTTTCCTCTCTTTCTCTAATTTCCCTATTTTTCTCCAATTTCCTTCCTTTCTCCCAATTCCCCCCTTTTCTCCCAATTCCCTCCCTTTCTCCCATTTCCCTCCCTTTCTCCAACTTTCCTCTCTTTCTATAATTCTCTTGTTTTTCTCCACCTTCCCCCCTTTCCTCCCGTTTCCCTGCTTTCTCCCATCTCCCCCCTTTCCCCGTTTTCCCCCGGCTCCCGGCTTCCCCGCCGCGGCGGAGGGCTGCGCGGCGACGCGGGGGCCGCAGCCCCGCTACCTGCAGATGGCCGACTGGCTGTAGGCAGGTCCCTCGGTGGCCGTCAGGGCCTGTCCCACCTGCGTCTGCGTCAGGCCGAGGGACAAGCGTCGGATCTTGAAGTTCTTGGCGAATTCCCGGATCTCCTCCAGGTTAATCCCATCCTCCTCCGTGCTGCTGTTGGGAGCCGGGGGCTCTGCCGGCGGAAGGACGCGGGGGCTGCCGTGAAACGGCCACGGAGCCGCCTCTCCCCCGCCGCCATGACGAGGCTCCCTACCGAAGGCCGGGCGCCGGGGCTCATCCCCAGGGATGCAGGGCACAGGTGTGCAGCATCCTCCCCCCATCCCAGGAGATCCCACACCCCAGTATCCCTTTTCCTAGGGGATCCCAGTCCCCGGCATCCCCCCAGTATCCCCCCCAGTATCCCCAGCATCCTCTCCTTATCCCAGGGGATCCCAGACCCTGGTATCCCTCTTCCCATGGGATCCCAGTCCCTGGCATGCCCCCAGTATCCAACCCAGTATACCCAGCATCCTCTCCTCATCCCAGGGGATCCCAGACCCAGGTATCTGCCCCAGTATCCCCAGCATCTTCTCCCCATCCCAGGGGATCCCAGACCCCGGTATTCCCCTTCCCAGGGGATCCCAGACCCTGGTATCCCCCCAGTATCCGCAGCATCCTCTCCCCATCCCAGGGGATCCCAGACCCTGGCATGCCCCCAGTATCCCCCCCAGCATCCTCTCCTCATCCCAGGCGATCCCAGTCCCTGGCATCCCCCTTCCCAGGGGATCCCAGTCCCCGGCGTCCCCCCAGTATCCCCGCCGTGACTCACTGGAGACCAGCTGGCTGACGGTGGGGGTCTCCGAGCAGGTGATGGGGACGGGCGCGGAGGAAGCCTTCGCCGCCGGGGCAGGGTTCGCCATCACCACGGCCGGCTGGGAGAGAGCTGGGGCCGGCTGGATGGGCTGCACCTGGGGCAGAGGGGAGGGTCAGCACCCCCAGCGTGGGGGCTCCCCCTCTTCCAGCGCCACGGCCGAGCTGCTCCCTGCCCACCAGCCCCATCCGCGCGCTGGCGGGAGAGCGGCCACGGCGTTGCTTTTGCTGAGGGCGGAGGTGAGACAGGCTGGGACGGAGGGGTGACACTGGAAACCACCCAGCTCCATGCTGGGAATGGGGCCGTGACAATTCTGTCCTGGGTTTGGGGTGTCCTGCCACGTAGGTTTGGGGGCAACCAGCACCTCTGCTCACACCAAGGTGAGGCTTGGTCTTTCCCATCCCAGCTGGGAAATTTGGTGGGCACAGAGAGCAGGATGCCCCACGGGGCAGGAGGTGTCACATCCCAACGATGCTCACGGGCTCCCAAAGCAACGTGTCCGGGTCCCAGAGCAACGTGGCCGGGTCCCAACGATGCTCACGGGCTCCCAAAGCAACGTGGCCGGGTCCCAGAGCAACATGGCTGGGTCTCAACGATGCTCACGGGCTCCCAAAGCAACGTGGCTGGGTCCCAAAGCAACACAGCTGGGTCCCAAAGATGTTCAGGTCCTCCCAAAGCAACGTGGTTGGGTCCCAAAGCAACGTGGCCGGGTCCCAACGATGCTCA